TGGGGTGCATTAAGAGGAGTGTGGCCAGCAGGTCGAGGGAGGTTATCCTCCCCCTCTACTCTGCCCTGGTGAGACCCCACCTGGAGTACTGTGTCCAGTTCTGGGCTCTCTGGTTCAAGAAAGATGAGGAACTCCTAGAGAGAGTCCAGAAGAGAGCAACTAGGATGATAAAGGGACTGGAGCATCTCCCCTATGAGGAAAGGCTGAGGGAGTTGGGCTTGTTCGGCCTGGAGAAGAGAAGACTGAGAGGGGACCTCGTCAATACATACAAATATCTTAAGGGTGGATGTCACGAAGATGGAGCCAGACTCTTCTCAGTGGTGTCCAGCGACAGGACAAGGGCCAACGGGTACAAACTGGAACATAAGAGGTTTCAGTTGAACCTGAGGAAGAACTTTACTCTGAGGGTGACAGAGCCCTGGAACAGGCTGCCCAGGGAGGTTGTGGAGTCTCCTTCTCTGGAGATATTCAAAGCCTGCCTGGACGATGTCCTGTGTAACATGCTCTAGGAGAACCAGCTTTAGCAGGGAGGTTGCACTAGACGATCTCCCAAGGTTCCTTCCAACCCTTGCGATTCTGTGATTCTGTGATCTCTTTTCCCAAGTAACGAGTGATAGGATGAAAGGAAATGGCCTCAAGTTGCGCCAGGGGAGGTTTAGATTGGATATTAGGAAAGATTTCTTCACCGAACGGATTGTCAAGCATTGGAAGAAGCTTCCCAGGGAAGTGGTTGAGTCCCCATTCCTGGGGGTATTTAAAAGACATGTAGGTGCGGTGCTTAGGGACATGGGCTAGTGGTGGACTTGGCAGTATTAGGTTTATGGTTGGACTTGATCTTAAAGGGCTCTTCCAACCTAAACAATTCTGTGATTCTGTGATTCTGTGCCCTAAAGCTCTCTAGAGTTTGTTTCATGCAAGCATCCATGGAGACTGAATTCCAAAGGTAAAGGGCTGCCATTGAGAAAAACTTATATGATGCTATTCAGAGCTTTAAAATTGTTACTGCATTTTTCCATCATACTGGAAGTAAACAGGAGGTCAGGCAGCTCGACTACCCATGGGTTTTGATGCATTATAGTTCTCTTGTGAGGCTGAAATGTATTTATTTTTTCTTTAGTATGTAAGGAAAGTAATCTTAGAGCTGGAACTAAGATAAATATTTAAACTGGAAACAAGCGGAGTATGGGTAAGATCCTGCTTTTAGAGACCTAACAGTTTGGATTATCCCTCCAAAGAAGAGGGCAACTTTGGCACATGCTTTAGCTGGGCAGGGATGGCCAGTAAGAACCAATTCTTAGATGGTGTAGGTATATGTGCTCAGATTCTGCTGTTCTCTGAAATGCAGTTTCAGAGTCATGGATAATAAAGCTGCATATTCTGCAACTGAAGCAGTCCTATTTAGATTGAAATAGTAGAGACTTAATACTGGAGACTCAGTATTGCTTCTAAGCCTGGTTGCTGTGTTGTGTTAGCAGCCCATTGTCCCACTGCTGCATTCTTCCTAATCAGACCAGTCTGTCTGCATTTTCGGAGCCATAAGCCTCCAGCAGTGAGAAATATTCCTCTGAAATTAAATGAACTCTGTTAGGTCTCCAGCAGCTGCCATTTGTCAAAATCTTCGCAGTTCACAACTTGACATAAATACAGAATATCAATAAAAATGTATCTAGCAAATGGACCCTATCTACTTGACCATAAAACAAATGGAGAGTAAACTGTTTGACTATGAAGCTAGACAGAAAACAATGCCCCAAGGACCTTCTTGAAATTAAAAAAAAAAAAAAGTGTTTTCAATGCAGTTTATAAGGAAACTAATTTCATGGTCATTCACTATTCAAAAATATATGTGGTTGCTTAGCCTCAGGGTACTTGAAAAAAGGATTGTACGGTACAGTGCTTGCACCTGTAAGCCCCAGGCATAAAGCTCCACGTTAGTGGACTGAAGGTTATGCAGTGATAAATCAGCAACCAGTATCGCAGGCTTGATCTGCCTAAGGAAGGTACTGCAGTGCTGCTGTGACACAGATTCTTACAGTGACTATTCTTTTGTGGGTTTTTTTAAAAGCTGTTGTTGTAGACTAAGTTACGTTTAATTCACTTAACGAACACCCATATAAAGATTCTGTACCAGACTATTTAAATCACGGTTTAAAACATCATTTATGCACTGCTGCAGCCTTCAAGGCTTGGAAAGCTTTCAACAGCTGAATCTTGTAAAGGCTTTCACATTTTAAAGAGGACGTTTTGAGTCTTGGTCATTTCCATAGCCAGCCAGTGAAATCAACTACTATATTTGCAAGTAGCAAATTTCTATGCCAAACCTTAATGGAAGTTGGGGGCAACGGATAAAGTATTTTGTAACTCATAATGCTCAGAACATTGCAGTAGTAGATTCCCAGTATCTCAAGGTGATTTATTAAGATGAAAAAATCAGTATGTGACATTGTTAAAGCGGTGAAGCTTATTTTTAGTTCTGACTGGACCACAGCTAGGCTCTGTGAATTACTATAATTCTTGAAGGTCACAGAATGATTGTATTACTTCATTCAGAGACTAATTTCTTTTCAGGAAGTTACTGTAATATTGATCATTTGCTCTATGCCTATGTTCTTTAGTCTATAGAAGACTCGATGGCACAGTTGAATGTTGTAGTAACAACAGCCTCACAGACATTTGCTTTTCATATAGCAATAACTTGGACAGCCACCTGGTAAGTTACTTAAACTGCTAATCCCATTTGGTAAATCTGAAATTATTTAAATTAAACTAGTAATATTTACCAACATTTATGCAGCATACCCAAGTGCTTAAGAATACCTACAGTTTGTAATAAAGGTGTATGTGTATGTTATTCTCCCTATTAACAGCTTAAAAAAGCAAAGTATTAGTTATGATTTTTTCCCATGATCAATCAGGGAGTCTCTGGAAGAACCAGAAAAGATCTTACACTCCTCATTGCTTTAGGCAGAAAGACACCTCCATCATTTTCACCACCAGGTGAGAATAGTGCTTCAGTCTCTAAAGCTACTAAGGACTACAGGCAAAGGAAAGCACGGGACTATCTGTTCAGTTATTTTGTCTGAGGCCAGCAGTGCTGCTTACTAGGTTAAACTAAAAACATGCAAGAGAAGGTCCTAGAGATTGCCCAGTTTTTCACCATGTTGATTTTCTTGTAACATGTGGAAACATATAAAGTTTCTCAGTAGGATTTTGACTTACTCTCTTCAAAATACAGAAATGTTTGTTAAAATACGTGATCCATATTGACAATGATGTAATATTTCTAACAGTTCTCTTTACAAGAAAAAGACCACGAGTATGAACTGGGTAAACTTTTCTACACATACCAGTTTGTTATTGTTCTGACTTCTAGTAATAAATATCTAAAGCAGTGGAAATAAGTCTGTCCCTACATCTGCTATGTTTACAGTTTCTACAATGGTAAATTTCCCATTCCAGGATGTTTTTGTGGTATTTAACCACTAAGAACTGAGCACAGACCAGCAGTTCATTTGAAATATGACAGTGGCTGGTAACATCCTGGAGTTCAGCAAGATTTGATAAATCACTACCCCACTGAACTTTGACATTCTTAAGCTCATAGCTGCTACTTAGGAACAGAGAAGAAATAAAAGCATCCAGAAGCCTGTGACCTTCAGGTGTCCTTAGACTGTCTGAGTTTCTGAGTAATTCTTTTAAATAGTCTTTGCAGTGCTATACAGCAGTATTTGAGTGTGCCCTCTCCCCCTCATTAGAATAGAAAGAGCTTGTATTGAGGTTAATGGAGAGTGTCTGACACTCATGCATCTATGGAAGGTGTAACTATCAGGCTAAGAAGCAGGAAAATCTTTTTTTTGTTTGTTTTTTTCTAAGGCAAACAGTAGGTGAAGAACTTTCCTTACTTGTGTTTAAGAACAAAAGGAAAATTATCACTGAGCTTTTACAAGAGACTTGAGGGGGAAAAAACAATTTCCTGTTCCTTGCTGCTATACTGTCTTTGGCCTGGAGGGAGCAAAAAAGATCTGGTCTTTCAGACTGCTGAGAGAGTGTTACAAGTAGAACTTGGGGACCAGCACTGCATTAAGTCCCATGTTCGTCTTTGTTGAGAATAATTTCTTAGCTACAACACAGCCAGTAGGTTTGTTGGTTTGTTTGCTGAACGTAAGGTTTTGTTCAGCCAAATGAGGTATAGATCAATGAAGATTAAAACTTCTTAAACAGGTAAGTCACTCTGTTCATTAGAAATCACTGACATGTTTAGATGCCTTGATTTTTTTATTGTGCATGTGTGTACAAAATGTAAACATTAAAATGTGTTTTTAAAAACAGATAGCTTTTATTTTGGTACATGTGCACACCCTCTCTTCCACATTGCACTGAAAATGGAGTGACAGGTTGAATATGTATCAGGTAGAGGTTCTGCAGGATTTGACAAAAAAAATCCCAAAATCAGATTTCAGCCCTTCATGGGCTGGTAGTATATCAGTGAGGCACTTCCTTTGCTTTAAAAAGGAATATATAGTACTTTTTATTCTGATCTGTTGGAAAATACCTTTAAATTTGGTAATCATTTTAAATGCCCTTTGCAGTATGCCTGTCTGCCAGCACGAAAAGTTATCGAGGCCAGCAAAGTTTGTCGAACCAATGTGGACTGCCAGAAGGACTTTGTACCAGGCTTTTGTGTGACTCCTTCTCTAGAGAACCAAACAAGGCTAATCAGGGTAAAACATCCACCCCATATTGACATGCTGTATGTAGGACACCCCATGCATCTTCAATACACAGGTTGGTATTATTTATTAAAACAATTTAACAAAAAGGATTTCTAATATGGTTTACTTTGCCTGGCTGCTTGAACAAGGTCTTGGAGCACTTGTCAGTTAACTTGTTTAATGCAGAATCCATTTCTTGTTACAGCCAGTGGAGAGACATGGACTACTCAGGCCTAAAATGAAATGTGCACAGTGCAATGAGTTATGAAGGTAATAGAAACCATATGTGATATGAGATGGGTTTTTTTTCAGAAAAGTATGCAAGGACTATTTCTATAACAGATCTCACCCAGGTTAGTCATGGCAACCAGGCACCTGCATTTTCCTAACACATAAACTTCTCAGAATGCTATTGTAAAATCTCTAGGGCATCTTGCTCTAATACCTTGCTTGGAATATTAGCGTTACTGCTTAAATTCACACCTAGTATCCAAGTATATGTGATGGATTCCCATGACTGCTGAGCCAAAAGTACAATCACAACATAGTTTTTTCCTGATTATTTTTTAATTTATTTGAGTGCCCTAAATAAAATAACAGACTATGGCTCTGCTTTAGGCAAGCTTATATCCTTGAGCCAGGTATACAAGTAAAAAGTAATTCTGCTCTTGGAGCAAGTATGGGAAGAATGAACAAACTCACCAACATCCCTATGGAGTAGCTTGAGTGGCATGGTGAAAATTAGCTTGAGATGGGGTTAAAAAAGTACAAAGTGTTAAACTACTGTCCCTTCCTCTGCTGTTGGGTGAGTTCAGTGACTAGAGGGTGACCAACGTGCATCCTAGGGAACTTCAGTTTAATAATTGAAATAGTAATAATAATAAAAATAATAATTAAAACAACAAGAGAGAGAGAGACAAAACCCAGGAAAAACAAGTGATGCAGCCACTCACCACTCACTGACCAATGCCCAGCCCATCACTCAGCAGCGATAGCTGCTCCCCCGGCCAAGTGCCCCCCCAGTTTATACACTGAGTGTGATGTCATATGGTACGGAATCCCCCTTTGGCCAGTTGGGGTCAGCTGTCCTGGCTGTGCCCCCTCCCAGCTTCTTGTGCACCTGGCAGAGCAGAGGAAGCTGAAGAAGTCCTTGACTGGTCTAAGCACTGCTCAGCAACAACTAAACCATCAGTGTGTTATCGACATTCTTCTCATACTAAAGCCAAACCACAGCACTAGGCCAGCTACTAGGAAGAAAATTTACTCTGTCCCAGCCAAAACCAGGACAGTTCCTCACAGACAGCTATACCTCACACGAGGAGATTTCACTTCAGACACCTTGAAGTACCTCCTTAGCAAGGCATTATATTTTTCTGAAGAAGCACTGGAATTAGGTACAAAAGAGCTTTAGAAACAGTAATGAAATCTGGTAGTGTAAATCCATTTGCATTCTTACACAAACATATTTTTAGTTAATCTGTCAGTCTTTATCTTTCTGTGCTAGTCATATCTTGATGCTTCATGACAAATTTTTTATTTCTACTTGTTTACACTATATCCTCATTTAAGCTGAAAATATGATCTCTTAACTTGTTATTTCTGCCCTCTTGCCATTTAGGAGGAAAACATTGCTCAGCTGTGTGGTATCAACACACGGTTCTAGATTTGATGACATCTATTCCAAATGCACCAACAACTTTTAAGAATAGAGTTTGATGATTATTTTAAGTTCCCTTTCTTGGTCTCTGACAATAAAAACTGTAGGTACTCTAGAACAATTGATATTGTTCTCTTTCTAATATGTAGGAGCACTGGAATTTTAGTCAGTGTTTCTTACTGAACAGTAATTCTGCAGAACGATCGAACTTGTCAGTCTTTCAGAAGTCAGAAAAGAATGTTACTGCATCTAAAGAGGTAGTTCTACTTTAAGAAGTTGCTGTGTGAAGATACAAGTTACAGTGTATTTACAGGAATAGAATTCTAAAGTGATTTACTGTACCCTGGGAATTGCACACTGAATGTGTTAATTTGAAAGCTAAATGCTTGATTTTGCTGCAAATGCAACCTATGCTCTATGTTCCTCTTGGAAAAACACCAGAGCTAAAACTACAGGATCCTGGCTTGGGCAGCAGGTAGTCTACTGCACCATTGTAGAGTTCCATGCATTCCATTGAAACAAATTCTAAACATTTCAGACATAGCTTTGCACTGCACAATACTGGCTTGGGGCCAACAGGTTTGATTTTTTTTTTTCCCCCAAATGTGACTGATCAGAACGTGGTAACCATTTTTTTTACAGTTAAGAAAGGAAAATAATTTCTTCCTCTATTGTGTGAATTTTGAAATAGGAGTACATTTTAGTGGAATGCCTTATTCTTTAGTGTGATCTTTCTTCTGCAGGAAACAATACTTTTTTAGAGTGGTGCTACATTTAACATGCAACCTGATATGGGAGGTCTGCTAGTGTGTACTTTGACTACTTTCTCTAGAAATGTCACTGAAGTAATGTTTGAAAAACATTCTAAGATTATGATATCTAAATTATTATTTTCTACTTAGGCTTGTATTGTTGTCATGATAGTCCTGGTTTATGGAGAAGCAGTAATTATTTCATGTTTTCGTTTGAAGCTAGCTTTTAGATACAATATTTTTAAAAATTTATATCCATATTAGCTACTTACAAGAAACAGGTTATACAGCTTACTTCTGTAAAATGTTTCTGTTTCCTCAAAGTAAAATATCCTGGCAAAAATATTTTTTGTTGATATGCATGCTATATGTAGCTCTTGTGTCCAGTGTAAAAAAAAAAACCAAAACCTGTAAAGAACCATAATCCCAAATGTGTTTACAATGCTGGAGATTTGGCCAAAACTAAACCAGAAGGAATGATGAGGAATTCATGTTGTTTAGGATGGACACATTGATTAGTCCTTTTAATTAGCATTCTCTCTGTAAAAAGTATTTAATGTAATCCAATATAAAATCATCCTGTGGGTTTAATTCATCTGGTATTAGTCAAGACTTTTAGACTTTTCTTATTGCAGGCCAGTTACGCTTTAGAGGCTCTGCCTATGTTGGACGTAAGATTGAAATGGAGGGCCCTGTCATTCTTGGTATGCAACTTTGCAGTGTTTCTTCTTTATTTTGTATGGTGTTTTTTTTCTTTCATGTCATTTCTGGTATTGCAAAATCTTGGCTTCCTTCTCAGGCCCTTGTTGGCTGGGAAGAATCTGGTGAATAAAATCCACATTTGGAATTCACATTGCTTGAGGGAAGATCATATCCCTGAATGTTACTGTATCTGCATTGCCCCATCAGGGATCAAAAACTGCAAGATTTCCTTCATGAAAAGAAGATGGAACTTACCTAGAAGATAATTTCCCAAAACTGCACCAGTGTCCTACTTCTGTTGTATCCGAGTCTAAAAAAAAGTACCCAAGTCTAAAAAAAAGCCACTTCTAGCTTTGGGGAGGTTTTTGGGCAACAAGAGCCATAATCCCTCATGAAGGTCTACCTGGTACAGGCTGTTTTCTCAGTATTTCCGTGTTTGTTTCCCTTTATTGCTGAGGATGGTCCTTCTTTGCTTTCAACCCATATTTAAAGGGTTACATGTATAGTTCTTCTGGAGACCACACAGAAATATCTCATGTGGTACTGTCCCTATCCTCCGTAACATACATGCCCTTTTCCCCCATGAAGAGGTTTTGAAAAGCTCTTTGGTCAACCTAGTCCCCAAATCACTTCTAATTAAAATTGTGTGCGTTGTGCATTCTTCTCAATATTTGCCAACAGCATCTAGCATTAGCCAACAAAAGAAATGTTAATTCCAGGCCAAAGAATTGTTTAATTAGAGTGGGAAAACAATGACTGTTTTCTCTCACCCAGCCTCATTGCTATTCACCTCTTCCCAGCAGTGTCTTTTGAAGACATGCCTGGAGAACATAATTTCTGTGATTCTTTTGTTATTCCTCGAAGGACAGATTTGCCTGCTGCCATTAGGTTTGATCCATTACAGCCACTAAATTCATTGCCTCATATTACAGTGTCCAGAGCTCAGTCCAGCACCCTCCTGAAGAGTTTCTTTGTGTTTTGGAGATTACTTCAGCAGCACAGTGTGGCGTTTAGAACCATGTCTAGTGGCTGTCAGGAACGACAGACAGTTTGTTGTAAGAAAGAGGGAAGGAGATTAGCGATCCATTCTCAATGTAGGCACAACTTTTCAGGTTCAGGATAGTTAGTGGCCATTAGGTGTTTGTCAAGAGGCAGTCAAGCATTGAAATGTCAGTATATTGCAGTGTGTGTCTTTTGAAACCTGTGAATACATTGCCTGCCTCAGCCATTTTGCTATTTTGGCTCATGAACAAGAGATCTGATCAGATGTTCTGTTACCAGCCTTCAGCTTGATGAGTTGTTTGCTTTGGATATCACTTGACTTGGATACCTCTGACTTTCTGAGCTGGGTGGTGTCCAGGATTTCTGTCTGTTACATTCTTCACTCAGTAGTCCAGCAGACTTACTTATTTTCTGTCAGTTCCCCTAAATCAAAGGTCTTTCTTAAGCTAACGTAAGAGAGAATATGATTTTCAAGCTGCCTGGGCACAGCTGTGGCAGTTTTGGTATTGGAAAGTTCTCTGCTTGTGGCCACACCAAACCCGTTCTTTTTTTGGGACTCCTTGCTATCCAAATCTCTCCATCCCATGGTATGCTTGCTGGTTGGACTAATTATTGCTAATGACTCATCAGAAGGGCCTCTATTAACAGAAGTAAAAGTGTTTATGTGACTGAGTAGACAAGTTCTCTGCCTCATGTGCCTTTGGAATTACTTTTCTCTCATCTTTCTTCTGATGTCCTTGAATTGTTTATTGAACCTGAAGAAATCTGATCTCACTCTTAACCAAGATATACTTAGCAGCACTTTTGGTATGTTGTGTACTAGTGCTGTGAGGTTCCCAGTGTTCTCTTAGCCTATGGTTTTAAGATTTCTCAAAGGGTGAGTTAAATTGTTCCTTTCCCAAGGGATGTTTGTACTGAGTGGGATTTGAACTCTTGCTTTCACATTGTCTCTGTGGAGATGGTATTTCTTACGGCTAATGGCTTTTTCCCAGGCTGGTAGGGAAAATTCAGGCCATTGTTGTTGGCTTCAACTTGTGTCCGAAGTTGTTCTTTAGGGACAGAGTGACTATTGTTGATACTGTGCAAGCTCATTCTTAAGGTGATTTTCTAATTCAGCCTTAATTTACCTAAACCTCTTCCTTCTGGGGGTAAGATTCTGCTATGCTATGAGTGGAGCCTTCTCGTAGGAGAGGTGTCTTTCTTTCAGCTGTCACAGAACTAAGGCTTTCAAACGGTCCCTGAGGCTGGCAGACTGAGACTGCTGTTTACTTTGAAAGTCTGCATCAAGATTTTTTTATGAGACAGCCCAGATGGAACATCCCTGTACTAACAGAGTGCGCTCCTGGGGGGTCTCAAGCTACCTCAGTTTTCTTTGAGGAGTCTCTCATAAACATTCAGCATGCAGTCAGCTGAAGCTTCATGTATACCTTCGAAGAAATTACATCACTAAAGAAGCATTTCAAGGTCATGTGGTGCTTGAAACTGCAATTTTCCAGTCACTATTTATAGGAAGGATGCTGAGTCCCTCTTCCCAAGTTTTTAAGTTGCACTAAGTTATGTCTTGGGAGTTGCTTATGGCATCATCTGAAGACAGAAAAAGAAGGTACTTACATACTGGTGTTAAGATGTGTAATGGAGCTGTGCGTCATCTCCCAGCCTTTGCTTTCTCAGAGTGACTCCAAAACTCTGCTCCCTGTCTGCCCTGCTCCTATACACCATGAGCTGAGCCTCAGGTTGGGGAGATCTGCAAGAATTTTCTGGCCTTCAGAGAAAGTACACATGTGCACCCACAGTATAAATGTATACATGTGGACTGCGTATGTTGAAAAAGTCTGGTAACTATAATCTCTTTTTATGTATTTTTCTTTGAAAAGGACTTGAATTACACAATGTGGTCTTTATGACTACAGATGTACAGTTGCCTCTGAAAATACATACCTTAGATCAACTTTTACTCAAATCATGCTAATTGTATTTTGTGTAGTGACTTTACTATGATAGCTACCATGTTTAAGAAAGATTTAACGACTGCACTTTTTTAAGAACAAAACCCAAGCAACACCATATTTAGATTTCTTATTCATTCTTGAAGAAATGTCATTTCAGATCTGATTTTTCTGCAAAATTATAATCTAAAATTCATAATGTTGTAATCCTGGCATGACTGTTCATGTTTTGTGTATCTTTGTTTTTTCATTTCAGTAAGTCTCAGCAGTTTTGTACCACGACAAAACTTTCTAAGCATCGATCTGCCTGTGGTGATAGAAACATTTTGCAAGTATCCTTTGAAGTATGTTTGTTCTTTTAAGGCAAGAAGGGAACTATTTAGAATTTGGTGACCCAGCAAAATTGCAGTTGGATATCATTTTAGACAGGATGCTCTGAAACATTTCTGTGGAGTTTTGACATCTTTATCCCATCTCTGCATTGATTATTGTCCATGTGCCAAGCTCAAAATGAAATCTCTCACTTTCTTGTGCTTAGCAGGATATTTTTGGTCAGTGCTTTTTTTTAACTCTTTCTTGAAGGTAAGTCTTAACACCTCTGACAAGAAAGTCAAAGTAAGTCTGAATTTATGGCAGGAAAAATGAGATGTTATTGCTAGCTTTGGTATGTCAGAATTATCATTTTTGAGTCATTATACTGAACTAAATAACAGGGTATGGTTTTTCTTTTTCTTTTCTTCATCAGGAAGGAAAACTTACCCTTCAAAAAGCAGGATGATAATTCAGTTAAAACATGCTTATTAATGAATGAGATGATGTATATGCATACATAAAGGTTAGTAGGCTTGCATATGGCTAATATAAGAATGCTTAGCCTTAGAAACTGAAATGTTTATGTGTGGCTATAGAACAATTAAACAGTGTAGATAGAACAATTAAACAGTGTAGTTCAGTGCAGTCCCTCAAACTAGAGTAAAGATGCTACTTAAGCTCCCCTTTTCTGGGAACACACCAAGTTTCACCCTGACCCAGCTGCTTTCTGAGTCCTATGTCTTCTTGTCCAGCCATTATAGGATGCAGGTAGGTATTACAGTTAGCAAGCCTTTACCGACAATAAAAATTATCTACCCTTGCCTCATTCTCAGATGCACATGCATGTACAGAAATCCACTCAACTTTTCTGGCTAACAAGTAAGTAGGAGAGGGAGGCCAGATTTCCAATTATATTCTAGCCATTTACTTACTCCAGCGAGGGAGTGTTTTGGAAAATACTCCTAATCATTATTTCATACTTAGGTCATAGGTCTAGAATACCTTCTTACTTCAGGCATGGTATCGGAGCTGTAACCTTCCTCCAAAACCACACAAAGCAAGAGAGGAAGATGGGCAGTATTAAGTGTGGTTTTGCTGTCATCCACTTTCATCCGAGTTGGGAAGAGTGCAGGTTGTTTCAGTATCCAAACCTATGCTTAAAACCAAATTAATCTATAAAGGCAATTCTCTGAGCTGGTATGTTATGGTGTAAAACTCATTGTACTCATAATTTCTGTGAAGCAGAATGGCAGCTAAAAAAAATAACCGTCGTATGTTTCCCTCTGCATACTAGAAATAAAAAATATGTTCGTGTTAATTTTATTTTTTTTACATTTTCTTGGATATTTTTCATGAACCTTAACTAATGTCAACCAGGTACCTAATTTCGCTGTCAGGAGCACTGGCAGTTATCAATGCTGTACCCTGCTTCGCTTTGGATGGTCAGTGGATATTAAATTCATTCCTGGAAGCCACTCTGAGCTCGCTGATTGTAGAAAAACAAAACAGAGAGCTTGTTGGCTTTTTAATTTTGCTTGCTGGTAGTGCACTTTTGGCTGCCAATGTTGCACTGGGACTTTGGATGGTGACAGCACGATAGAACATTGGATGCACTTCCATCAGTTCTCCAAATACACAGAAATAATGAATCCATTGCCTTTTCAAACTTGTTCAGTACTGAGATTGAAATAATTCCCTTAAAATGACACTGAAAGAACAATCACTGGTGGCTGCTGTTTTAATTTAAAACTGTACAACATTGTGCCTGTGGTGATGGGAAAGAACAGAAAGAAGTAGGAACCTTTTTATATACTCTTTAAGCACTGTACTGATTTTGGAGAAATTGAATTGTAAAGTTTCAGAGGAAAAAGCCTAAGACTTCATTAATTGAGGTCTCAAGGGAATTATTTGGCCTCAAACATTTGTAAAATGGGAGAAAAAAACACTTAGGTTTTATGCTATAATTTGAATTATTGTCAGAAGATCTGTGTGGGCTCTGATCACTTCTCAGTCAGCAGTCTTGAGTGTCTTGTTCTGTTTTTCCAATCTGGTATTTTACCAAACTGGACTCTTAAGAAGCTGTAAAGCCTGATCTCAAAATGGTGAAAAGCTAGGTAAATGCTTAGCAGGTGTTAATGAGGGGAGAGAGGCCATATGGGTTAGTATCTTCCCTTTTTAGCTGGCCAAAATGACTGGAAGGATGTTGTCCTCAGGATGTAGATGAGAAGTGCCGATGTCTGTTAAGAACGAGGCATGTGGGAAGATAACAAAGCCCACATGTCTGTGTTTCCTACACATTCAGTTGTATACTATCATAGGCAGCTGAAGATTTTTTAAAGGCAATATTTGTCAGCAATAGCTGTGAGGTAACTGAAATTTAGTTTCTGAGTGCTGAAGTATGCTGTGCACAATTATTCCTAAGTGATAAGTAATGTTTGTGTTGTTTTACTCAGATAATAATACTGTTATACCTGTTTACAGTTAAAAGTGAAACCTGTTGTTTTTATGGTGTCTGTCTTCTGATGCTATGCATGTAATATGTACAGTAACTCACTGATGGTTTTCTGTCTTTCAAAGGGTTGTTTTCCTTTGCTAGGATTCATGCTGTTCAAAGACAGCTAACAAAGATGTTTAGCTGAAGCTGGTCTTGGATCAGAATTGTTTAGAGGAAGAATGTGATTGTGAATTGAACCGTTTAAACATTTGGCTTTGCTTTCTGAAATGAATACAGACCATGTCCTTGTTCTTAAATGAACAGCAGAAGAACAGTCAGTGTTTTGCTGACTGAAGTATGTCTGACATACTTTGAAGCTCTATAAGTCTGTAATATTTTATCCCAATAGGATTATACATTAACTGTCATGTTCTCCTGTGATATATTGCCTAGCTCATACAACTTGGGTTCAGTCAGAGCCTTGCTTCAATATAGGCTGATATTAACAACAAAATAAAAATGCTCCCATTTGGGAGCCTAAATATTTGAAATAGGAAAATTTTGGAAAATGCCCTGCAACTTCTGGCTCATACAATGCTCCCCATAGGAGCCGCTGCAGCTCAGAGTTGCTTTACAGAAATGGCCTTTCCACCAGGAACTAAGCTCACAGATACTGGCCTGCAGGGAGTGCTGCAGCATGCATGACCAGCTAACGTAAATTCTCTTGGTGGTAGAGGTAAGAGCCTGGGTAATTCTAAAGCAGAGCTGAGCCCAATTCCTGGTGCTACTGCATGGCTTTGTAGCTATGATGTTTGCATTTGCATCATACTTTTTTGAGAGGTATTCTTTTCTGAAGATGATGCAAGCAGTAATGAGGGAGCTTGGTTGTTTATTTGTTGTTGTGTTAGTTTACTTACCTCCCCAGTGCTGTCACAGGCCAGGTGGGCCTCTTGATGTTCACCTCTGTGGGGTGGTGGGCCCGTGCCTCTCATTTTCAATCGTTTCAACCCAGGCATGTTGGGACAGATCCCAGTAAGAGAGAGTAAATCCTCCTCCAGTCAATCCAGCGTGAGTAGGTCCCTTTGGGGACTGTTAAAAGTAATACCAAATGCAAGAAAGGAAAAACAAAACTATCAGAAACTACCAGCAGGCTTCTCTTTCTTCAGGAGACACCCTGAAAGTCTAACTCATCATCACTAGTGGGAACATGTAGAGGCTTCAGGGTAGCACTTCTGATGGGCCACTCTGCCATCTCTCCGTGGCCAGGAGGGGTAGGAGCTGCCTGGCTCTTGCACAAAGCCCAACTCAAGCTACACTCTGGAAGCCTGCTCACTCACCTAAGTGGCTGCTTACCAATCTGAGGTCTTCCTTTCAGTGGCTCTGTGCCATTTTCCTCTGCTTCTGTGTCTGGTTCAATCTACAGTGCACAAAATTAATTTGTGCTTAGGAGTTTTAATGCAGTTTAGAAAGACAGGATTATTAGCTTTTCAAAACAGCTAGTATTTATGTATCAGAGTTGCAGTGCTGTCTTACTATCTAAAGCAACAACAAATGCATCTGCGGTGATTCAAAAGTATTCTGTGAAAAACATTCCAAGTTGATCCTTTATATATTCATTGTTGACTACAACTGCTTGGAACGATCTTGTAGCACAGTACCCCTCCTGGAGATGTAGGCAAGAGATTTAAAAAAGCAAAGTTTCTGAATTAACATACACAAGCTACATCTGCTCTAACAAGGCTGGCAGGTTGTTCCTGGTTATTTAATGTGTGACCAAACCACGATGTTTTATCAAAGGAAACTAAATCCAATTTATTTCACTTCACGCAATCACCAAAAGCCACAGTTACACTAAGCAGAACTTCCATCTGTGTTTGACCTCATAATCACAAAGAGAGTGGAGAAGACATCGGTTATGGTTTTAGCAAAACAGACACACTAGTACGCTGTAAAGACCTTGGTTATCTTCTGTGGGGGAGAGAATACTAGAAGCTTTTAAAAAGAATTCATGGGTGCATTTCTCCATGTGCTGGAATTCTACTGAATAAGGGTCGATTTGAATCAAAACTTTAAGCAAACTGGGTATGAATGGTGACGCAGCGCATCTTGGATTACCTGTGGACAAAAGTAATAGTTAAGTTGGACCACTCTGTGTTAAAAAAAAGTTGTTCAGTGGATCCATTTCATTCACCTGTAATCCTAACGTATGGATTACATTCCTATAAGCAAGTGCCACACATACAGTTGCTGGGAGGGATTTCTCTGGGGTTTTGTTTGTTTAGCAAGAGAGAACACAGAAGGACACAGAATGTTGGTTGTGTGTTGGATTTTTGCTCTGGAGTATTTGCCATGTTTCTCCTATTTCTGTTTTTGTAAAAATTGAAAGTAAGCCTTTCCTTAAAATGAAGTCTTTCTACTTCTCATTAGCCCCTCCAGAATGTAACGTATTCTTTAATACAGAATCCATCAATATAATTATAGGGCACATTGACTGGAGTGTAAAACAGAACACTCTCAAAGATTAGATAGATACTACTATTTATGTATATACTATGCATTTTAAATCTGTATCAGATGGAAAAAGTAATGTCTAACATTGGGAAGCGTTATACAGAGCTTTTACTTGAACATTGCCAGAAGAATGCCGTAACTGTAATCAGTTGTTGTTCTGATTTGGTTTTTATGAGAATTTTTTTTTTTGTATCAGCAAAGACTTCCATAGCATGTTCTGCTAATGCATGATCTGACATGAAAATGGCTAACTTCTTAGCATGTGGGAAGTTACGTGCCCTTCGCTAACTTAGGAAATTAAAACCAGCTTGTTTCTGTACAAGTTAAATGAGAGAGACTTTGCTAGAAAAAGTATAGACAAACTTGCAGATTGGTCAGCCCAAATTTCCGAGCCACAGTGGGATATCTGTTAACATCATATTTAGAATGAAACAACCCACTGTATTGACAGTTTTATTTTTCAGTGATGATGATTCTGCATTTGTGTATATGTGTGTGTATACATACGTATAACAGATACATACACAGCCACAGTCTGTATTCCCGATTTTTTAGGGATACCTTACAGCAGTTCTCCATACTCTGCGATGTAGGCTTTTTTTTTCTTTTTCTCTCTCTGAATTCCATGGCTTTCTCCGGATTTTAAAATCACAACTATTTTCCTCCCATAACTGATCTAACTTCTTTATTAAACAGAAGACAAGTGATGGGCACGATGTCACCACAGCTGCATCAGTTTTGTTCAGCTGATGTTTAAAATATGTTTCTTGCTTTCTGTGAGGCCTCATCTACAAGCATGGTGAACACAGATTTTTCAGGGCGGCTAAAAGAGGTCAACCTTAGAACCCACCACCCTCTAAATGCTGCTCTTTGTGCCGCTCTGAATGATAACTGTGATGAATGAGAGTGTGTAGAGTATAGTGAAGAAATAATGTTTTCAGGACAGACCTCCCCATGGCAGTCAAGGCGTTTCAGCATTCTTGAAATAAGGATATATTTTTGTTCAGTTTAGAACATCAACAATCCAAGTTTTCCCAGTAGTTTCCTATACATTTTACACGATGGCAAAGGGTGACCTTTTCAAAATAAATTTTTTATGTCTTCTATCTGAAAGATCTGAATTTGTATGTGGATATAATTTATGACAGGTGAAGAAGGATTATAAAGGTTTATGTAGCCTAGTCTGTATTTAATTGTTTTTAAAAGTTGTGGTTTAAACTCTAGAAATCAGTAGTTATTTGTAAAATGTACATTCTGTACACCTGCATTCAGACCAATTCCCACAACCAGTCCTGCCTCAGCTTTATTCCTGGGACCTTGAGAGTAAGGAAACCGAACGTAACTCAGGGAAGATCCAGTGTTAGCAGTTATTTTATACCCTCTTCACCCTGGATTTCATGTAACACTATATATAGAGCAGTTGTTTGATGTGGCTGAGTTGCCTGGGGTACATAGCCTGTATTAATACAGCATTTGGGAAGCACTGTACCTGGGGACTGCTAGAAAAGGGCAGTGCTTGTGATTCTTTCTTGTTCCTTGGACTCATCTGCTACGAACACGTGAAGAGCAGACGGCAGCAACCAAGGGCAGCGAAGAACCTCAGTTTATGGCAGCTTTATGAAACCTCCACACTGCTGACCCAGTGTGAAAGGATGGGAACAAAGAGCAGGATGTGACACTGCAATTCCGCTCATTCCATTTGCATTGACATGGAACGTGAAAACAATTTGTAATGAACATTTCAGAGCACGCGGATAGCTTTTCCAGCCCTTCTCTGAATCATTCAGTGACTGGTGATTAACCTTTTTCTTCCCCCCCCCCCCTCCACTTTGTCCTTCCATGTGCTGAATAAGTGATATGGGCAGTTGTAGCTTATTTAGTAAAATGGACTTGGGATATTTCTCACCTCTAGATAACCCATCTTGGGTTGGGTTTTGCAGCATCGTAGTGTAACTGACCTTCGCTTGATACTACTTGGAAAGTTTGGAGGCTGTTTCTAAGCCGTCGCTGGAGAAATCTGGTTTCTTCCTTCCCGAGTTGCTTGTTAATATTTTAAATTCCTCTTTTTGTTACATAACTTTGCTTTTAGATTTCATATGCTCGGATGATCTTATCTGAAGCCTGTCACTGGAATATGTATTGTTTTGAAATTCACTGTGGGTTTTTTTTTCCTCTGCATAGCCTTATTTTTCACACTGACTCACAGCTGTGGAATGTTAGATTTCTAGACCCTTTGTTCCCACTATGCATTGTTCATGATCATGTTTTTTAAAAAGAAAAAGAAAAAAAAGAAAGCTTCATTTTGAAAATGTCAGCTAACAAATATATGGAACACTTTGAATAATGTATTGTGTTTTTGTTTTGCTTTTTTTTCTCTATTTAATCAACCAAACAATAAGTATTGTTTTCTATGTATGATAAATGTATCCTGAAAATAAATTCATTGTTTGATTGTTAATGTGCTTAAATCTGTTTTTAAAAATAAGGTAAGAGTGACATAATTGCTTGTTTGTGGCAATCACCATATTGTCTCATATATTTTCATAGTCTTTATATGTCATTTATATTCTGTCTCTGGGTACTGACAAGATACCACAAGGTACCACTATCCTTTTCCGTATCCAACCGCCTCCTAAAATTGATAATTATCACTTTCCCATATTTACCAGCTTGCCACAGTGAGTAAGTTTGAGTTGTACATCCAGGCAGACACTGGCGCGTTGTGCTGGAGCGCAGCTGGCTTCACTTGAACGTGACCAAGGTAGGGGGCAGCTGCCTTACAGGAGCAAACCCCTTTCTCTTGGCTTAGTTCCCGTATAATCCTTCTGCTCTGGAGTTGTGGATTTCTGTTAGCTTGGTCTGTAGTGAAATCTTTGACAGAGGATGCCATAGGTGAGGGACGCAAAGCCACCTCTCCGGGTGCTAAGGCCAGTCCTACGTGAAGAACTTAAAAAGCCAGATCTTCGAATGACATTAGGTTGATGTTGCCTATCACAGCCTTCGCCTTGTACGCACAGGCCAGGCCAGAGCTGGGCATGTCTCCTGGCTGGGCCTGAAGAAGTTTGCGTAGGTCTCCAGGTGCTATCTGGGGCTGCCTTAGCATGGTGTAACTGGGTTGTTTCGCTTTATTTGAGAAGGAAGCTTTCTTGCTCTCTCTCTCAGGCAAGCTCATCTAGAGTCAGACAGGTTATTTGTGCTGAGAACTAAATTGTCCTTTGTTGCTTGTTGGACAAGCTGTTACTTTGTGCAAGTGGAGCTGTTTCAGCAAGCATGGCTTTGTCCCCAGATAAAAGACTACCATGAGAAATAGGCACAAAGCACCAATTGGACACGTCAGTAGGATTTCCCAGATAGGTCGGCATGCAATTTTCTGAATACTTGCATGAGGGGATGGCTTTTTTTTTTTTCTCTCTCTCTTTCTTTTTCTTACCCATGTTAAAGGTAGAGGCAATAGTTTGTTTTTTCTGAAGCATTTAAGTGTCTAGGAGGGTCCTGAGGTTTTTCAGTTGATTTTGAAAATGTTATTCCTTATTCTGATTATGCATGTTCTGTAGTCTATAATAAAATCAGTGATGTCTTAATGTCATCTTGAGGAACATTGCCTTAATCTTACAATTCTTCCTCAGATCATACTAGTTTGAATCGCCAAGCAGGAGCATTCTTTAACATCTTGAGTAGATCTGTATGCATTGAACTCTTATTTAGATCTTATTTAAGATTTTTATGAGCTTTTGATGTGAGCTACCCAATGACATACAATGTAAGGTTTGATTCTAATCTTATGGTAGTAAACTGGGAGAATCCACAGCATTCATGAGGGCTAGGCAGCAGTGACCCAGACTTTTCTAGGTAGGCAAGGCTTTATTTCTTGATCATGGCAAGCAGATAGAGACAAATAAAGCTGTGACTAGCTGAGTCATGTGCAGCAGAACTTTAATGTTGGGTCACCAGCCCTGGAGTTATGTAAAAGACAAGGTGCTTAGGGACATGGTTTAGTGGTGAGATGGCAGGGTTAGACTTGATGACCTTAAGGGTCTTTTCCAACCTGAACGATTCTACAATTCTAACTTTTTTCCCCCTTTTTTTTACCTCAGTCAGATTTGGGTCTGGTGTTTACTTTGATGCTTTTAAGGCTGGAGTGTTGTTCAAATAGAATTGGATGTTCTTACCAATTACGTATCTTACTCTCTACATTTCTGATTAATTCTACTTCTTGAGTTCTTTGCAAATACAGTAGTGGCTGAATCCTATGCAACCACCACTTCTGACAGTCCTAAAAACACATGGTTGTACAACCTTTTTCATTTCCCCTGAACAGAATCTTTCAAACCAAAAAAAAACCCTTTTTCTTTTTTTTTTTTTTGTTTTGTTTAATGTCATCCTTCTTACTTGCTATTGTATTACGAAAGCCTCTGTATCTTTTTCCCTTTCACAGCTCTGTGAGGATCTCTGTTAAAGTATTACCAGGTATTCTTAAAGTGTAAATTTCTCTAAGCCTAGTGAATTTGAATCTGTTACCCACACAGGCATCTAGCGTGCTCTGAGATACCCTAAGGTGTTCTCAGGTTAATAATCTGACTTGGAACAACGTTTTGAAACTCATCCCCCACTTGTCTCCATTTGCCTTCTGTTGGTTTAGGTCT